CTTGTTGCCGATCTATGCTAAATAAGGCGGTTATAGACTGAAATTGGCAATTTTACCTGAAATCGGTTCATTATCTCTATCTTATGCGCGGCTAATCTAACTCGCACTTAATCTCTTTCTACGGGAAAGTGTGAGTGTGGGTACATTTTTCGTTATCCTCTCTCGATATGAAGGGGAGAAATACTGTATGAGCAGCTTGGCAAGCTTCACATGTACTATCTAGTGCAAGCAGATCGAATAGTGTGGTTGTACAATCTTTCTAATCAAGATAACACCTCTTAAGCCGTAAGCATCTTTGATTATATGAGAAAGTCTTTTCAGTTACATCAGATCTTGACGCGCTGAAAGAGCGAATTATGGAGAAGACAGGAGTGACTGCCTTGTCTCTTCGAAGGCCTCACCCATATAAAAAAAGTAGGTTGCGTTGCTTCTGGAGGATTCAAATATCTGGTGTCTGTTTAGGTAGAGTAGCTGTTTGCGCACGAGGAACAACGAACAGTCTACGCTTACTACGAAAGCTCCTGATTGTTACACCGCCGCAGGCTATAGTTGATCATGCCGCGCAAATCTCGGAACGTTTGCCCATTTTACTTCACAAGAAAATTGTGAATTAATGTAATCAGATTGCTTGTGGCAGGCATCGATCATAATTTGAGAAATCCTGCCAAATTGCAATCTCCACGTGGTTTGACGATCCGTCAGCATGTCTACTATTCCATTGCGGGCGACTTATTTCGACTTACTTTATTTTTTATATATATTACCTCAGTTATTGTAGCCTTTGTGTTGTGATGCAAACCTGCCAGGTATTGCTTAGATTATGTGTGCGTACAATTATGGGAACAATAGCAGCAGTGAAATGCGAGTGAAAACGCGCACGATATGATCGTTCATCAAGGTACCGTAAGGGTGCCAGTCCAGCTCTCAGAATTTCTACAGTAATTATGCTTACACCACTCGTACTTGTAATGTTCATCCGTTCTGCTTCGCTCGGACTTTCCATGCAAGTACTTCTATGCAGTTTGGGTAGAAACAAGTAGTGTTGCTTTTTGCACAGTCAACTTTATATCTTCTGTTTACATGCAGGCAAATTCAAGTGGACTCGCAATCTTCTTTATAAACTTCATTGCAAGCTGCGTTATTTACCATCTCATGATTTGCCAAATTTTAATTGTTTCATCTTTGTGCTCCTATGTTACCTAAAAGCCGCTGCATAACGAAGGCGCAATACCTTTGCAAGCGAACACGGCTTTATCAACCACAGAGCGCATGAGGCGCAAAATCACTAACGGTGAAGATATGCGCGCGCCGCGTTCGCGCCCGCTTTGCTAATGCTGCTTC